ATTCTGACAATCGCCTTTGTAACTTTTGTTACTGCCAAAGGAGTCGGGTGATGATTTCATATCTACAATACCATTAACATTGACAAAGTAAATGTTGGTGACATCGACTTTGCCGGGGATTGTGTTAACCACGATGATATAGAAAGCTACAGAAATGTAATACAAAGTGCATTAAGGCCATTCTATTCGAAAATAACTTCCTTTCGAATGACACCGCAATTAAATTGTACTGGAGGTTCAGTTTTTGTGGGAAATGGAGTGATAATGTTGGGAATTCAGGAAAGTATTTTAAATATAAAATATGAATGGAATCGAAATTTAAAATATATTGAATTCTTCCAATGAACCTCAGGTAATATTCGTTGACTACCGAAAAAAGTAGTAGATTTTCACAATTTTATATTCAAAGTCAAACTGAGGACCAAAAAAAAAAATTGTAACGCAGTTAGACACCCATTGGAAACTTCGAATACTAAATTTCAGACAATTCATTTAGAAAAACAAGTAAAAAACATTAAGTTCGGCCGGGCCAAACTTTTAATGTCCTACACCTTAGGGTAAAGGAAACATTAGAAGAAATGTGGCAAAAACCATTAAAATGCCGAATATCGGGAGGTACCGTTATATGGGGGCTATACCAAATCGTGGACCCATACATGCAATGTTTCGCCACCGGAGCTGGAACCCATTATGACTAACAAATACCAATTTTTAGACAAATCCGTGAAAAAATGTGGCAAAAATAATCAAAATACCGAATATCGGGAGGTACCGTTATATGGGGACTATACCGAAACCTGGACCGATATATCTCATTTTCAATACCAACCGTCCTAGACACAATACAAATTGTTCTCCTTTACTTTGACGCTCTACGTCAAATAATGTGGGCTGTATCGTGATTTCAACGTACAAACGGACAGACAGACAGACGGACGGACATGGTTAAATCGACTTGGAATTTTATGATGATTTTGAATATATATACTTTATGGGGTCTACGACGAATATTAAATGATGTTCCCAAGGTGGAGGGTATAATTAAGAAAATCCATCAAAGTATATGGAAGATATACTATCATGTGTCCTTTATTAACTGTTTCTTAGAATGTGGTTGGGAACACGTAACAACGATGAAATTCCAAATTCTAGACAATTCCGTTCAAAAATTCCAAAAAATTGACCAATATAGCCCATCCGTGAACTTGATCTGGTGGAGGGTATAAAAAGAGAATAAAATGTAAGGTTTTCCATAAACACAAGTAAAAGAATTACAAGTCATTTGCAGACAGAACAGAAAAATTCCATTAGGTCCTGCATAGGGAATATATAGATGCTACGGTTCCAACAAAAACTTCAAAGTCCTCCACATCCTGGACATATTCAAGTCTTCTATAGATAGAAATCTACAGGCGTTCTATAAACAGAAATTCTATAGGCAGAAGAGATCTTCTTTAGACATAGAGCCACCTGCATGTGGCTCGGAGAAAGAATTAGTTCAGAGATCTTATGAAGGTCTTCTCGAGAAGGAAGACCCACAGGGCGCCTGTACAAAGAAACAAAACAACTTCCAAACCCATTGAATTTTCTAAATTCTAACTTTCTCCCCCGTACCTTGCATTTACTTTAATGTAACAATTTTCGAATTTAAGATACTAATATACTATTATTAATCTATTATTTTTCAATATTTTTAAGTTAATCAATAGAAGCATCATTGATATCATTTAAGATGTTGCTAGTAAATTACATTTTAAAAATGCATGTTTTAATTAAGATTGATATGTGTAAAATTATGAAAATCTAACAACAAATTGAATTGAATATTTGAAGTTATGTGGGGGGGGGGGGGGGGTAAAGGAAAATTCTGTTACACATCCTTCTTAAAGATAAAAAGATGTGAATAAAATTGTGTATTATTTAGTTTTTAAATAGGAATAATGTGTTCTTACTTTGATAATAAATTAGTAATATAAGTTTTGTGGTACAAAGACCCCCCAAAACTCTACACCCTGAAAATTAGAAAATAGATTTTCCTTTCGAATTCGGAACCATTTCGAAACCTTAATGGCTGATTCTATTATGTGGGGTTTACATAGAAACTGTGGACTCATTACTTTCGTGTAGATAACTTCCAACCAAAATTATCAAAAATAAAAAGCAGTAAAATACAGCCAGAAAAAAAATATATTCCGAGATCTTATATTTCTTATACATTTTGTAAGGCTTCATGTGCACAGAGAGATATACAAGTCAAGAATAATATAATAACAATGTTATGTGCTTACAACGGGGTCCGTTTTGCTTCTAACTTAGCCAAGAGTAAGTTCGTTATACGAAAAATATCATAAATTCCATTTATTAAAAATTCATTACAATATTTAAATCTCATATCGATGGAGTTACGATTGGAACAATACGAGGGAAGTGAAATGTCGCATTCAAATGCCTTCTTTCAAAATAAAGATTTTTGAATTTTTAAGTCATAATATAACTTAAAAATTTTCACTAATTGCTTTAAGTGGTGACAATAAAGGCTACAGATTTAAAAAGTTCGACATGCTGAAAATACGGCTTTGAAGAAGAAATTAAATATACCGCACTGATCAATTAACAAAAAACTGAATACTGTTGGGAGCGCTAAAAACAAAAAATAAATTAAAGCTTCAAGACAAAATAAGAGACAGAATTATACAAGAACGGATTGTGTATAAAAAGGGTACAATAAATTCAGCGAGAATTATACAAGAAACTCTTGATTCTTGAAACTCTTGAAACTTGATGACAGCTACACACTCTTAGCCAGAATTAAGCAAAAATGCAGCTAAGATTGACCGAGCACAACCAATTCGAAGTAACTTGCAAAATGAAAAAAATCCGTTGAAAAATGACGCTACTTTTACCGTACCGTTATAGGGGGGCAAAACGGAGATATATAGATCCTGTATAGAAACCTTTTAGAATTTCATAAACCAAAACACTTACAATCTCCCGCACACTTATATGAGGCCTATTCCGAATCTTATTTCGGAATATTATTTAATAACAATATAATGGTCTATTTTCATAAACCTACTTCATTTCATTCGGAAGCTGCAGTGGCTCCATAGATGGACCAAAATGTCTAAATCAACAAAGAGTGGTATGCTGATAAAGAAGTTATGTACTTTGTGGGGTCTAAAATGTAAATTTGAAGGTTTTACATACGGAATGACTAACTTATATTTTGGCGGTGGGTATAAAGACTATTTCGGTGGTCAAATAGACCGAACAAAATGTTTTCATATATAATATGAAAAAAAAACATATAGGGGTTGGCAGGTGCCGTAGGCACAATCAGTGTCTTAAGCTTACTATGGTATCCCTTAATAAAATTTTGAAATATGAATATCTGATAATATCGTCCAAAAAATGTCCTTGTTAAGAGTAGAATTTAGAAGATGAAAATTAGTATTGTTATTACAAATCTAGAGACACTATCGGACATAATCATCACATATTTTGAAATTGGTTCTAAAAAAGTATCAACTTTCATTGGGGTACTGGACTTCTACATTCCATTTGATCTCTAGACACAGAATTGATACGAGTGTAATTACCATCCAAATCTCAACTAGGACTATGCCGATGTTTCCGGTTTTCGCAACTTACATTTATTATGGTGTCCGTATATGACATGTGATTTGATTACATTCGTTCATTCGTTATTTCGAAAAAAAAAATAAAAAATCGACGTTTATTGGTCTATTGATCCTTGAAAAAATATTCTTTAAAAAATCCACGTTGGTGATCCATGTTTATTATTGTGAAGGTCCTCGAAATAATATTCCTTAAAAAATCAACGTTTATTGGTCTATTGGTCCTTGAAAAAATAATCCTTAAAAAATCCACGTTTATTGGTCTATTGGTCCTTGAAAAAAATAATCCTTAAAAGAATCCACGTTTATTGGTCTATTGGTCCTTGAAAAAATAATCCTTAAAAAATCCACGTTTATTGGTCTATTGGTCCTTGAAAAAATAATCCTTAAAAAATCCACGTTTATTGGTCTACTGGTCCTTGAAAAAATAATCCTTAAAAAATCCATTTTTATTGGTCTATTGGTCCTTGAAAAAATAATCCTTGAAAAATTCACGTTTATTGGTCCATTGGTCCTTGAAAAAATATTCTTTAAAAATCCACGTTTATTGTTCCTTGAAAAAATATTCTTTCAAAAATCCACGTTTATTGGTCCTTGAAAAAAATATTCTTTCAAAAATCCACGTTTATTGGTCCTTGAAAAATACTCTTTAAAAATCTATTGGTCGTTGAAAAAATATTCTTTCAAAAATCCACGTTTATTGGTCCTTGAAAAATACTCTTTAAAAATCTATTGGTCGTTGAAAAACTATTCTTTCAAAAATCCACGTTTATTGGTCCTTGAAAAATACTCTTTAAAAATCTATTGGTCGTTGAAAAAATATTCTTTCAAAAATCCACGTTTATTGGTCCTTGAAAAATACTCTTTAAAAATCTATTGGTCGTTGAAAAAATATTACTTAAAAAATCCACGTTTATTGGTCTGAAGGTCCTTGAAAAAATATTACTTAAAAAATCCACGTTTATTGGTCTGAAGGTCCCTGAAAAAATATTACTTAAAAAATCCACGTTTATTGGTCTGAAGGTCCCTGAAAAAATATTACTTAAAAAATCCACGTTTATTGGTCTGAAGGTCCTTGAAAAAATATTACTTAAAAAATCCACGTTTATTGGTCTGAAGGTCCTTGAAAAAATATTATTTAAAAAATCCACGTTTCTTCAACTTCAACTCCATGAAAAAATATTCTTTAAAAAATCCAAGTTAAGGCTGAGAATATGAGGAACGCTCAAAACCCTTGCCCTTTTTGCATATAAAATCAAAGACATTTCTATTTAGACAATCATAAAGTTGTATATAGTTTTTTTTTTTTTTATTTATTAGACTTTTTATTTATTTACATTAGAATAGAAATAATAATGTTAAAATAATTAAAAAAAAAAACAATTTGTGTCCAAAACCAAAAATATATGCCAGATTCTGTATTAGTTTTTATTTGAGATATGAGGTAAAGTTTTTTAATTTTTTTAAATTTAATTTTTTCGTCTTTAAAAATTTAATTTTTAATGTTATTTCATGTCTATATTGTTTGTTACTAACACTAGGTCTTATTAATAATACACATATATAAATATAAACAATTTTAAAATAATAATAAAGGCACTCCACGAGTCATATGTTTTAAAATAATTTTTTAAAATATTCGTTTTAGTAACATATAAATTTTTCGGAATTTAAAAAAAAAATAAACCAAAAATTAATGACATAAAACAAAAATATTACAAAATAATTAATTGATATTACATTCTGCCAGAAAAATACATTTTTGTATTATTACTTATCACAGCAGTTAATTAATTTGCAATTATCTCTACACACAATGACACCTGCATTGTGACGTAATTATTCAATTATAGATTAATTAACATGAATATTATATTTCAATTGATTTACAAAATTTAAATCCCAATTTATCTTAAATACACTACTCTCTCTCCCTCATCGCTGAGTCATAGAGGCCACAAATGCCTGCAGACTATAGTAACGATCTCCATCATCCTTGGTGACACTTGTGACATGATGAAATTGACATGGCTGGGAGATTTGAGCTTTCGGCGGCAACGGCACTTGCCTCACGCGTTTCGATCGTTCCTTATCTCTTGGCAACGTTCGTAGATTATTTTCCGGATCGCTTAACAATCGTTCCAAATGTAACCATATCTCAGCAGCCGCTCCGGCTGTATCATAGCTAAAACCTATCATCTGTTCCGGATTACTCGACAACGTCATTGTGTGAAACGAAGGACCCGCAACTTGATAATTTGATAAATTACTAACACGATCGGACCACAAAGCAAAACAGGAACCCCTCTCGGCCAACACCAAGGTGATGCGTTTAATGGTACGTGTGCGGGTACTACCTTTGTCGTAGAGAATCACTGGGATCCCCGTATATTTCAATTGCCAATCGTTTTCTTGGCCCCTGCCTTCGTAAAGATTTGCCAGAGCCGAGCTCACAAAAATCTCCGTACCCAACCCGGCAAAAAAACATTCCACCTGTTCGATTTCATAATCGGAGAGTATGTTGTGATTGATCATATCGATGCTATTCGTATCCGAGGAATATGCCGCGCCTTCGGCATATATGGTACTCATTGCGGCGTTTATGTCGTCATTTTGTGTTTCGTGCGTCCATTCGGGGTTCGTAAGTAACATTTCGTTGTTATCTGAAGAATTGGTGCCCTCAGACGACTCTGAGGGTGGGGCGGTGTTTGTGTAAGACATCTGAAAGAGAAAAAGGAAAATAATATTTATTACAATGTGGAATGAATTGGTTTTAAATCAGTAAAAGCTTTAATCTTAATTTTCTTGGTCAGAAAAAAGTCTGGATTTTTAAAGAATATTTTTCCAAGGACATTATTTTTGCAAGGTCCAACAGAGAGCGAAGATTAAAAAAAATGTTTTTTTTCTGACCAAGCAACGCGGATTTTTATTTTTTTTTGTAGGACGAACCCCGGTGGATTTTTTAAAAATTATTTTTTTAAAGCAAGAAACGTGGATATTTTAAAAAATATTTTTTCACACCAAGAAACGTGGATTTTTTAAAATATTATTTTTTCAAATCAAGAATCGTGGATTTTTTTGAAAATATTTTTTCAAACCATTGTTTATTGTTTTAAACCAAGAAACGTGGATTTTTTAAAAAAAAAATCTTTCAAACCAAGAAACGTGGATTTTTTTTTAAATTTTCTTTTAAACCAAGAAACGTGGATTTTTTAAAAAAAAAATTTTCTTTTAAACCAAGAAACGTGGATTTTAAAAAAAAAATCTTTTAAACCAAGAAACGTGGATTTTTTTTAAACCAAGAAACGTAGATTAAAAAAAAAAAAAAAAAAAAAAATTTTTCAAACCAAGAAACGTGGATTTTTTAAAAAAATTCTTTCAAACCAAGAAACGTGGATTTTTTTTAAACCAAGAAACGTAGATTTAAAAAAAAAAAAAAAAAAAAAAAATTTTTTCAACCTAAGAAACGTGGATTTTATTTAAAATTTTCTTTCAAATCATGAAACGTGGATTTTTTTAAAAAAAATTCTTTCAAACCCAGATAAATAGAATTTTTTTTAAAAAAATTTTCTTTCAACCTAAGAAACGTGGATTTTTTTTTAAAATTTTCTTTCAAACCAAGAAACGTGAATTGTTTTAAAAATTTTCTTTCAAACCAAGAAACGTAAATTTTTTTTTAAAAATTTTCTTTCAAACCAAGAAACGTGGATTTTTTAAACAATTTCTTTCAAACCAAGTAACGTGGATTAAAAAAAAATATTTTTTCAAACCAAGAAACGTGGATTTTTTTAATTTTTTTTTTTCAAACCTAGTAACGCGGAATTAAAAAAAAAATATTTTTTCAAACCAAGAAACGTGGATTTAAAAAAAATATTTTTTTAAACCAAGAAACGTGGATTTTTTTTAAACCTTTCTTTCAAATCAAGAAACGTGAATTTTTTTAAAAAAATGTCTTTCAAACAAAGAAACGTGGATTTTTTAGAAAATATTTTTTCAAACCAAGAAACGGGGATTTAAAAAAAAAATTATTTCAAACCAAGAAACGTGCTAAAATTAATTTGATTCGCATTTGGTGCACAATAGTTATGAATCCGATCCGATTATTACCAATTTCAACAGGATTAGTCCTTAAGCCAAAAAAAAAATGATATATGGAAACTTTTATCTCAATCAGACAACTAATTAACAAAAATACATGGCAGACATTCGGACGTACATAAATCGACTCAGAACGTGATTCTATGAAGACCATCAAAAGGAACTATGGGTCTATTTCGTTTCCTTCTGCAAGTGTGGTGTAGGGTATAAAAATGCCCTTCATGAACTCACATTTAGCTAATTCTCTATCCCGAAGGCCAGATAAACATTAGTACATGACTAATAGCATTTCTCCTTTCTAGTATAACTAATATATCCCATAACTCTTTTTCTCCTACGGCTATGGTAAACAATTTATGGTAGTTTGTTGTGGGTTTTTGTTTTCTTTTTTTTTTTTTGTGGCAACTAAACGGGGGTGATTTTCTTATCATTGGCCATGAGGAGGAAACCAAAACGACCGGTTTGTCGATAAATAAAATATTCATCGATATTATTAATAAACCCACAGCCATATTCTATGGCACATTTAAGGACGACATTACGGCCTATTTGAACGACTTTGCACAACATTAACAATTCAGCAAAGCAGGGGTGTGGGTGTGTCGATGTCAGACGGCTACAGAAACCCCATACAACCATGATGATACACAAAACGGAAATCAGGAAATCTCATGAAAATTCACAAAAAGTCGTCAACAGTTTACCGGAAAACTGCAAAAGAAAGAATCTGAAATTTGTTAGTCTTGCCACAGGCTGGTGAAGAAAAAAAGCCGGACAAAGGAAAAAAGTGAACACCACACCGAAAATGAAATAAAAATTCCTGATGAACAGTTTTGTATTTTTTTGTGCGGGGCACTGCAATGGTTCGCAAACTCTGAAATTGAAATCTTCGACTACTCAATAATTCTTGTCTGTTGCAAAAAAGCCTCGAAACAAGAATGTTGAAACTCCGTTTATATTCGAGAATTGCTGTTGTGAATGGGTACTTAGTATCCTTGTCATACACACGCACACACATACACACACGACATTGTCGAAGATATGAAAAGAGAGAGAGAGAGCAACAACCAAGAATTCATGATAAGGATACAACGGAGACACACGCTCACACACAGGAAAAGGAAATGTAGGTTACTTTTGAATTGTTGCGAACAACATGAAGTGAATGGTAATGGCAGGCAAAGCAAACCAAACCAACCATCCAACGCAACCAACAACAACAAGGATGCTGGTCTGGATAGGAAACAGAGGAGATAACTGATATTCGTTGGTTGTTTGATAAAGTTCCATTCTTTGCTTTAGACATTGTTAGGAGGACAGGACAAGCCAAGACGAGCTAGAAACAAGTTAAAAAGCAATAAGTTCGGCCGGGCCGAACTTTGAATACCCTCCACCATTTCGGACGAATTTAGAAATTTTCAAAAAATAAAATCCCTAAAAAATTCTGTTAAAATTTTAAAAATACCAAATATAGCCGTTATATTGGGACCAACGACGTGGACCTACATAGGCCTTGTTTGTCATAAGCCATTACCATATTCAAATTCGAAACTTGAAAAAACGGTGAATAATGTAGCTAAAATCATCAAAATATCGTATATAGGGAGGTATCGCTATATCGGAGCTGTGAGAAGACCTGGATCAGCATAGACAATATTCTGTCATAGGCTGTAGCATCCATTACAAACTTCAAATACAACATCTCAAACAATTTCGGTGAATAATGACGCTAAAATCATCCAAATACCGAATCTAGGGAGGTACTGATATATGGGGCCTATACGAAGACCTGGACCTGCATAGACAATTTTCTGTCACAGGCTGTAGTTCCCATTACGAACTCTAAATACGAAATTTGAAACAATTACGGTGAATAATGTCGCTAAAATAATCAATATACCGAATATAGGGAGGCACCGTTATAGGGGGGGCTATCCGAAGGCGTGGACCTCCTCAGACAATTTTCTATCATAGGCTGTAGTTCCCATTACGAACTCTAAACACGTAATTTGAAACAATTCCGGTGAATAATGACGCTAAAATCATCAAAAATACCGAATATCGGGAGGTACCGTTATATGGGGGCTATACGAAGACGTCGACCTGCATAGACAATTTTCTGTCACAGGCTGTAGTTCCCATTACGAACTCTAAATACGAAATTTGAAACAATTACGGTGAATAATGTCGCTAAAATCATCAAAATACCGAATATGGGGAGGTACCGTTATATGGGAGCTACATTAAGACGTGGACCTACATGGCCCATTTACGAATTTAACCTGCCTACTGGAAAAATAAACATGTGTGCAAAATTTTAGCCTTCTATCTTAATTCGTTCGAAAGATAGCGTGATTACAACTGACAGACGGACGGACAGACACACCAGACAGACGGACAGACACACAGACGGACACCGCTAAATTGACTTAGAATTTTACGCTGATCAAGAATATATATACTTTGTTGGGTCTGACATGAGTATTTCGAGGAGTTACAAACGGAATGACAAAGTTAATATACCCTCCATAGAATGGTGGAGGGTATCAAAAAAAAAAACAGTGTTTATGCCTTTGGCCTATTTTCTCCGAAGTAGTTGAAGTGTAATAATGTAAGTTAGTGGTAACTACACACACGCACACTGGCTGGCACATAAATATTCTCTGCCCTCACACACAAAGTTTCGGAGCATATATGTATTGTATGTTATAGAGTGTCTTATCCCACCACGATAACCTCATATTTTAGTTTGTATCTCCGTATCGGTTGCAACATTAAGTCTTTAACATGACTTTTATGCAGTCATAAAACGAAAGTGCTTTGTCTAATAAGCTCCTGGCATCAGGGCAATAAAAACCAAGGAATATTTTATCCCGAGGCATTTATTCATTCGTTACCAAATCAGGAATTCGTTTAATTAGGGCAAGCCAGAGAGTTAGGGATAATTTAAGGGAAGTAAATGATTTGGTGAATGTTTTCTGGATCATAAACCTATGGAAGCAGTATTTGGTATAATTAGCAGTGCCATTGTGCCATAGAAGAGAACCTTATAAATGTAATCAAAATCATTTTTTTTTTTTTTTTTTTTTTTGATGCCAGTAGGATCCATGATAAGTGAAAATATTCCTTTAAAAATTACGAATTTTGGTCACTTCAAATTGCTTAAAAAGTACTCACTGAAAACTCCTTCAATTTATCCTTTGAAAAATTCCTTAAGTTAGCCAACGAAAATGACTTAAATCAATCAACAAATTGAGACCAAGAACAAGTAAAAAGCAGTAAGTTCGGCCGGGCCGAACTTGAATACCATTTGGAACAACTTTGGAAATTTTCAAAAGGATAACATCTGCTAAAAATTCTGTTAAATGCTTAAAAATATCAAATATAGTCATTATATTGGGATCTATACGAAGAAGTGGACCTGCATAGAAAACTTTCGTCATAAGCGATTACAATATTCAAATACGAAAATTAAAAAAAAATCCGGTGAATTATGTAGCTAAAATCATCAAAATACCGAATATAGGGAGGTACTGATATATGTGGTCTATACGAAGGCCTGGATCTGCTTAGACAATTTTTAGTCATAGACTGCAGTCCCCATTTCGATCTCTAAGTACGAA